TCTGCTTCAGGCTAGGTAGGGGACAGAAATTGCCCAGCACAGTAAGGAGCCCATCCGCCCTCACTGCCCTCCCTCCCTGCAGCACAGGCATCCACGCCCGGGCAGGCAAAGGCACTGTTTCCCTAGCCTGGGCCACCACTTCGCTGCAGCCCTCACTTGCCTTCTTCAAATGTCATCCTTCCACTTGGTCCTTTCCTACACCCTGGACTAGAACGTATTGACAGAAGGGTCTTTTTTCTTCCCATTTGTCTTCCTGGGGACATTCTCTTGTTATCAGGTCTCAGCAACACAGAGGAGCCAGTCTAAGATCTGAAATGGGCTTCTACCCAAGCAGTTGCCATGGCTTGTTGCATCTCCCCATTATTTTGATGCCCAAGGTCTTGCAGTATGGGCCCTATCTGGCCACAGGGCTTGAACATGGAAGGATGCTGCCAGTCTGATTCGGCTTCAGTAACCGGCATGGTTTTGGTGGGACATCAGTTGTATCGTTCCCCCGGGGGATGAGGGCTGACTGGGTCCTAGCTTGCTCTGGTCCTTAGGCTCACAGGACGCTCATTTTCTCAAACAGGATAATGCTACTATTGAAAGGATAGAAAGGTGGGAAGAGAAAATACTATTGAAAGGATAGAAAGGTGGGAAAAGAAAAGATAAATAGAAAATGGAATAGAAACAGAACATGTGCATTAGTCAGCCTTTTCAATGGGTAATAAAAAGCATTTGTATGAAATTAAATTCAAGCCTTGTGTAAGTGAAAGAGAGATGCTGCACTTGCTTTCTGTAAGAGACTGAATTTTATCTAAGCAGCTTTGCATTTTCTAAAAAAAAATAATAAAATTGCACAAATATTGACATCTCCAAACCTGCCTCTCCTACAATTCCTTTTAATAATCTGATGGCTCCTTTTCACACGCCAAACAGTTTGCTTTCACTTTGAAATCACCAGTTGTTTACTTGCTTGCTTTCTATGGCTGTCTTATTTTATTGCTTTGCCATTCCCTAGCACTTTTTATGATATTTGCTCCAATACAGAGAGCTTCAACACCGTTTGGCATTCCTCCTTGTAAAAATAAAGTACAAAACAAGGCACATTAAAATATTAATAATTTGTTGTCATACTTTTTAAAGATTGTACTGTTGAAGATAAGAAAAGGCGCTGGCACGAATGTAAAGGGATAAAAGTGGAAAAGATAAAACAACTACAGCTTATGTTGAAATAAATCTTTCTTTATTATGTGTATGGTGAAATATGTTCATGTAGACTTAATAATTTCTTTGTAAGAATTTGGGAAATCTCTCCACCTGTCTTTATTCCCTTAGTCTAAATGTTCATACGTTTTCCAGCCTTTCATCACTCCCAAGCACTTACTCCCCCCTAATCTTTATCTATTTCTATATTTTTATGTACTATCTACCTGAGATCTTGTGCTAGCATCCCTCTTCTCTTTAGTATTTCATAAATCGTTATACAAATTCAAAGGAAAAAGTAGACTTTTTTCCCTTATGCCCTTAAATTGAACCACCTTCTTCCACAGGTTGGAAGGACTCATTGACAGACACACACAACCTAGCTGTATTTAATCTCATTCTTTCTGTCTCCCCATTTCATTCAGAAAAGAAAAAAGGAATATTGATACAGTATTTAACCTTATTATCACAGCTAGATGAAGCAGTCCCCCCTTGTTGCCCTGTTCCTATGTTATGTGACTCACTTCCTAAGCCAGACACTGTCTCTTTGGTACCTTTTACTTTTGCATGCATTAATGTGCATCCTTATATAGATGTAATTTCACACTCAGTTTTCTGTACTTTTATGATCCAGAGGTCAGTGTGTGATAAATCATTCCCTAAAAATTAAGAGTAAAGGCTGTGATAAGTTTTTAATCTAGAAAGGGAAGAGACTGAGAAGAGATATAATAAATTTTATATACATGAAAGGTAGCTGCAACAATCTTTTCCTTGATCATTGTGAATAGGACAAGAAATAGTGTGTTTAACTTCGCAGCAATGGAGCTTAGAAATACCTTTTTTGTAGTTACAGTAGTGAGGCACAGGAATAAATTGGCTTTTAAAAGCATGGAGTCTCCAGAAAGGAGACTTGTAAGCACTGGTTAGAAAGCCATTTCCCAGGACTAGCACGTGTGTGATTGATCCTGCTGTGAGGCAGGGTGGGTTAGCTCCCTTTCAAACCTGTTTTTTGTCATTCTTCAGCACTTTGTTGCAAGCAAGTAACCTTGTGGGCTAAAGGAAGCAATGTCATGTATGAGCAGTGACACACAGCAAAATACACTGTTTGCATCAACCACTGCTAGAGAAAACCTTGTTGGATTTATTCCTATCCAGGAACAAAGATAAGGTACTATGAGAGAGAGTCAAAAGAAATGTCCAGGGAGTCAGGAGAGAAAGGGAGAATCAGTGATACCAAATTAATTACATAAATCAGTGACCATGTAAATCAAGAAGAGTCTATGTTTATTACATGTGGTTTTAGTGTGTTTTAGTGTGTTTAACCTATGTTTAGTATATTAGAAGACCTCAGGAGACACATTTTCATGGAGTAGGTGAACTACAGGATCTCTTCCTTAGAAATATCCTGCTGTATTCTGTTGCTGATAGGAGGCTAAATGACTTTCATTTACTAAATCAAAACTGAAGTTCCCATATTTCTCTGTATGCTGTACTTGGGGGATTAGGAATACCCAGTACATGCTCATATTGGATGAACTGACGACGTTCTGCTATCTGTTTCATATAGCAGCTCTGCTAACCTGATCTAATGGTCCTGCCTGAGCTTTGAATATATGAAGCATCTTGCTTTGCTAAGAAAATGAGGCTAAACTGTAGATCTTTGTTTATAAACCATGAAAGCAGAGTGTGGTGGGGCTAAGCTACTGTCAGAAAAGTTACTCTTTTGCTTAAGATAACCTTTCCCCTTTTCACAAAGACCCTGTGTTTGCCATTTAGATAGCACATGCAAGCTATAGGTTGGAGTTTTTCAAGGGGAGAATTAGATAATTCTGTTTATTTATGTGACTGCAAGTTAAGGCAGTTCTCAGGGCCTTGCCCTTTAACTTGTCCTATCACTATAACAGAAATAAAGAGCTGATCTAGCTCAGGTCTTTGACAGTAATCACGCGTGAGCAGTTTGGCCAAGATCTGATATTGCACTTACTGCCCGGTCACACGGAGAGAAATCTTGAGGTCTTTTCATTTCTTGCATTTTACCTGTCCAACGGAAAGACAGCTTAGTCAGTGCTGAACAAATGCCATGATCTGACTAAGGATTTATCCAAAACGAGAGCACAAGAGAAATATCTTGTTTCAGACACTGTGTTGTTTTGGAGATTTTTTTCAGGCTCTAGAGTCACAGAAGTCAGTGGAAGCCCTGCCACAGATTGCAGTGGTCAGGCCCTATTCAGGGTCCATCCACTTGTCATCAACCTTGCAGAAATCCTCCACGTCATTCCCATGGGGCCATCGGTCGAGGCGCTCTAGGAGGAGCCCCTTGGAGCCAGCTCCAGTTATAAGGTTATCCCACTTCTTTTATGAGCCGGAACTAAATGGCCTCATTGCTGCTCCTCTCCTACGAGGAACTTAAACACAACATTGGTTAAAACAATGACAAGGCTATGTCAGAGAGCTCCGTTTTGCAGTCTCCGACAAAGACATCCAGGCAGTTCCTCTGGATGGTGGCTTTGGTTTACTGTGTGCCCTTTCATCCAGAGAAGTGTCTGCTCTGTCTGAAATGCGATGTGATAAAGAGGTCAGAAATGAGTAATACATTTACCCCGTTATTGCAGGGACAGAGCTTAAGTGGCCACAGCTTCAACTGGAAACTCACTTTTGAACCCATGAGTTGGCATAACCATGCCATTGTCATTTTAATGACATCTTTGCAGTGTGCCTGGAGAACCAGAGGGTTAACCCAGCTTCACTTTTCAGAAGGGAACTGCACCTGGTTCGCCTACCTGTCCTGGGTGGGTTTCCCACGGCTGAGCCAGCCCCCCTGGCCCAGGCACCCCTCGCGGGGCGGCGGTGGGGTGGAGGATGCCCTTTGGGGCTGCAGCAGCGCTGTCAGCGTGAAGCAGGGCTGCTCGCCTGAGTCCTGCCAGTGCCGCGCAGGGTGGGGGGAGCAACCCACCTCCTCTCCCTGCTGCACTAGAGGGGGCTTCTTCCTTTTCCTTGCAAAGCTCCCCTGCAGGGCATCTGGGGAGGGTGAGCAAGCCTCGGGAGGAGGAGGGAGGCGGGGAGACCATCCCCTCTCCCTGCTGCTGTTGCTGAAGCCGGAGCCGGAGCCGTCGATGTGGCTCCCCAGAGTTAGTTGCTCAGCAACCAGAATCAATTAATATGCTTTGCAGAAAGTGCAGGGGAAGCCCGAGCTGCTGTCAGCGAGAAGGCAGGAGGCTGAGGGTGACTCAGGATCCCACTCCCGCCTGACACCCAGTCGGTCCTACCCCATCCTCTCCAAACCCCCCGTTAGCCACTGTTCTTTATCCCTTTCTCCTTCCCTACGATGTCTTAGTGTGTGCGTCCCCAAATCCTTCAGGCAAGGTATCTCCTTGCTCAAGAATGCTCCTGCTTTGAGGGTTTTGCTTTTAGATCTAATTTGTATTTTTGGGTTATTTGTCAAGCTTTCTCCAACACTTTTCTAGAAATGCTAATATTCGTGTTCTTTGGGAAGGGAAAGGGACAGCTGATGTTTTTTGTCAGATGGTTTTGAAGATTCCTCAGGATGAGAAGGGTTGTTTGGTAGTGCACAGTTGAGCAGCAGTAATGAAAATGCATCATGTGTGAATTGGGAAAGTTTTTGCCTCTTCCTTTATGACAGGTAATCAGCACTGCATATATGAGACAAAAGAGATAGTACTGATTGTTGTGAAACACATAGATAATAGAATAAATGAGGGGTTGTTGGTTTTTTTCCTTCTCCTTTTCTGCATAGTAATTTCAGGGTTTCGGTAAGGTATTATTTTCTTTTTTTCTTTTTTTCTTTGATTTTCTTTGGAGTCCCTCTGATGACACCACGAATCTGGGAATGAAGAACTTCTTAGAGCTGATTGGAAATGGCATTGCAGAGCTGAAACTTAACTGGAGGAAATATATCTCCTGAAGAAGAAAATATAATGCACTATAAGGATCTGACTTCTGGTGAAAAATTCAAGCCTAGAGAAAACTTGTCCGCTTTGTTAGGAAGAATGGGTTGGACAATTTTCTTCAATTCGAAAGGATATCTGAATGCCATGCTGAGCTTAATCTCTGCAGCATGCTCTGTGCTTCCCATCTCTTCCTGATGCACTGCATGGTAAGGCCTTTTTCCTTCCTTTTAATAATAACCATATTTCTGTTATGGTGAGAGGTGAAAATAATCACAATAATCAAATGAAAATTGAAAAAATGTAGAAAGCTAACAAAAGAACGTTTGTTTGTATGGTTGTTTCCAGGAGCAAGTGTCCTGATTACTGCAGCAGCTTTGTAAGATCATTTCTGCCTTTCTCCCTTGCTTTGTGACAGTGTGTATGTGCGTGTGTGTGTTTGTGCACACCTGTGCTGTCATTTGCACTTGGACTGGAACATCAGTAGCTGTGTTGCACATATTTCCATGCTAAAGAGGATGTTTAGAATTTGCTTTGATATTTCTCTCTCTTTTTCTCTCCATTCCTTCCCCTCCTCCTGCTCCTCTTTCTCTCGCTGTCTGTCTCTCTGGGGTCATGGTGCTATACCTTCCGTGCACCTCAGTCGTGCACTGACCACTAGAAGGCAAAAATAGAAGGTAAAAGAAATCCTGTATCAACGTAAGAATAGTTCTGAATAAGTATTATCTGAGTAAATAAAAGCTACGGAAGGGTTTTGAATGTCTGCAAGATCTGCAGGTACAAAAGATTTACTTTATTTTGCTTCCCATGGGAAACAAATATCAAATGCAGACTTGGATGCTGTGTTTTAGATACAGTGGGAGGCATATCCTTTTACACACATCAGAAAGCCAAAAAATGACCATTGTGAATTATGACAATGTTACTCTTGATGACCCAAGTCATAAAATAAGCAAACCAAGTACAAGATGTTCTCATATCAAGTAATTTTTGTCATGTATTAGCGGGATGTTGGGAATTATAATAAATGGCTTCAGTTGGTGTTGCAAGATATTTTTCATTAACAGCTGTAATGTGCTTTCATCTTCCTGGATGAAAGGTGCTAGGGTAGTGCAAGGTGATGTTATTAACTAACTACCCGACTTACCAAAATTTAGGGTCATTATCAGGAAATTGCCAAGCAGATCAGGAATTATATAGTGAGTGTACTGAGATGGAAGAACAGGTTGGTTTTCCAGAAAGCCTGGTTTAGTTGGATCTCTGTTTCAGAAATAAGGGTAGAACTAAAAGATGAAAGAGTGGTGATGTGATATATATATATATTTTCTTATGCATTCTGGTTGATCACTGAGTTTGGAAGAGGGAAAGTTGAGTGCCTCTTGAGGATCAAACTGTGGTAAGGGCCTGCCCCCACTCTGAGGGTAATCCCTCGCAAATCCACTGCTTTTGATGGGGTTAGAAACGGACAGGGAGCGGGTTTCTGTGGCGGTCGTCACAGGCTGTCCAGCTGGGTACAGAGGTGACGAGTTCCTGACAGCAGGTTTTGAGGGTGAGAGGGATGCAAACAGCCAAAGCAAAAAGGCCAGGCCAGGCCATACCAGGACTCATGAACAAGAATCAGAGCTTAAATCCTATTCAAAAGATGGAATTTTGTGGCAGTTCCCAATACACCTCCTCCTTGTATGAAGAAGGACTCCATAAGACAGTCTTTAGAGAGAGAATGGTAATGCAGCTTTTTCAAATCACTGCAGTAAGAGGAAACAGAGACGATACAAACACATTCCTGTAGTGTGACAATTTTTAAGTAGGGTTCAGAGGAACCAGCCTTGATTTTCGGAGTAAAGGCTCACAATATGCATACATGTGCATTGAAGTAGATTTTTTGTGCGTTTTACCATCTAAAATGTATGACGAGGATAAGAACCAATAAGGAAAACTGAGGAAGGACAACACAACCCATAAAAGTCATCTTCTAATCTTCACTGTTGAAAGAAGCTCCGACTTGTGGAAGTAGTCCCCTCAGCTCTTTATGTGAACAAGGACTGCATCCTAAATTCAAGTTTCCGACTGAAAATCTCTCCTCACATCAGCAGTTCTATTTCAATCAATGGGACAACTCATATGAGTAAGAACTACTCATGTGAATAAATTATGAAAGGCTTTTTTAAGACCAGGCTCTTTGATTGTCTTGGCAACAGATTTATTAGGTTTCGGGCATAATTTGTATTTCCCTTCTAAACAAAATAATTTTTCCATTTACCTATGTGAATCCTTTTGCCTTGCAATTAGGACAAGAAAAATAGGTTAATTACATTCTTAAAGATCATGCAACTGTGCAGATACATTGTTAGTGAAGAATTATCAGAGTATGCAAAAGTTTACTTTTATTAGTGGTCTCCAAATCTGAAAGAAGTGTATTCTTATTGGAATCATTCATTGCCTTATTTATTTTTGTGACAGTATTAACATTGCTACTAGTTATTGTCAATTCTTCCAGCAACTCATCAAAAAAAAAAAAAAAAAAAAAAGAATTCCTTTAAAATATCACTTATCTGATAAAAGTACTCACGATTATTAGGTTCAAGGATACTTACCAAGCTTTCTGCTACATTAAAGATATTCACTTTTTAGTTAATACATGATGTTTAGCTCTTTACTTGATCCAGGAACATATTTATCTTCAGGGTAGAGAAACACAATATGAAGTCATAATTATAGTAAACTTCCTACAGAATATATATATATTGAAATAGGAAGTATAAAATCATCTGGATTTTCTTTGCCTGTGCAATTTTGCATGCTTCTAAATGTCTATATTATTAGAATATATATTGCATAACAAGTAATATTTCCTTCATTGTGATTTGTAAAGAACAGTTCCTTTTGAGAATACAGTACACAGGAATTTTTTTTTCTTTTGTGCTAGGTTATGCATTATGAAAGAAAGAAAAATATTAGAAAAAGCAAGCATAGCAACCTTTAAAATGTATCCAGTACACTAATGCAGCAATAGGTTTGTTTGTTTCTTTTATCCCTATAATAGCAACATATATGTAGCAAGAATAGTGCGTTATTTTCTAAAGAGTGTGTGATTTTGAGAGAGAAGGTTTTGCACAATACAGGATGTTCGTTGTCTTTAGCAGACATTTCTGTCAAGGATTTACTGTGACTTAGAACTCTTTCTTTAGTGACATTTTTAATCATTTACTTTAAACATTTGCACAACAGCTGTATTTGGCTTTCTCTGTCAATTCTAAAGCAAGTAAAATTAGTAATTTCCTTTTCTTTTAAGATACTATTCAATAAAGGTCTGATGCTGAAAACACATGTATTTCATTTCAGTCCATTGAACTGTTTCTTTAGATAAACTATGCGAATTAGAGCTTGAACCATCTGCATTATCAGGGAAGTTATAATGAACAGTGGAAATACTTTCCACACTTGCAGCAACTATTTCTAGTCAAGAAAAATGTATTTTAATAATATAACATGTAAGCAGTTCCTGTACTTGGAATGCCTTGAGCTGTCTTGATTCAAGATCCAGCAAAAACCTGATTTTTGAAAGGACCGCAAAAAAACCCTAAACAAAACCAAATGAGTCTTAAACTTTTGTTGTTTAAACATAAATAGCCACAGAAAGAATATTTATCTGACAAGAAATTTCAGTAGATCAGCATCTCTGTTTTTCATAAACCAGGATAAAAAATTGAAAAGGCATAATATTTTTAAAAAAATTAAAAGCTCTAAAAATCGATACGTATGGAAATACTGATTTCAAAATGACACAACATTTCAATTTAACATTTTCAATCAGACTTTCATTTGTTACAAGAAACTGTGCTGAAATCTGTTTATCTTCTTTTCTCAGTGAAAATTTGCAACACTTTTAAAATAATTTTTTTTTTTTTTTTGGACAGGGAAATGTTTTGTTATATATTTTTTAACTAGATCTGTTACAGCTGTCCCAATATTTATTGGCTCTCACAGGTCAGCTCTTTAATTAGAAGCTCTCTGAAGGGCCACCTTTAGCACGGCATGTTGTATAGCCCCATATTACTGATACTGAACAGCAGTTATTACCAGGTCTATGGTAGATGTAAGCTCTGATTGCGATTCCCTCCTTTAATTCTTCTTGTGTCTTCAACAAAAGGCAGGCTTCCATTTTGCTGAGAGTTTTACAGATACCAGAAGTAGTTTCTACTACAGAAACCTTCAAGAGGCCTTCAAAAGTCATGCAGGCAGGGAGTAGAATTAACGAGTATTAGTATCCTTATTAAAAAGATAAGGAACTGAGGAACAAAGAAACTGCCCAAAGCTATACTTGCAAGGGAAGAGTTCGGAATTGAATCCAAATGTCCTTATTCTCAGTTCATCCCTGTCCCTGCAAGGTTGCTCTTAATTTTGTCCATTTTTTTGCTTAATGACTTGCATTTGGACTTTTAAGTTAATACTAGTTGAAGTATGAAATGTGAAAGGGAATTATTGATGCGTACTTCCTTCCCAGTCGACACAGTTGTCCTAAAAATTCTTTTTTCTCTCCTGAGCCATTCTGTTTGAATGTAAGCATTAATTATTGAACTGCTTTACTACACAGGGGAAGTAAAGATTAAACAGAAAATTACTAAATAGAAATATCCTAAACATGCCATACAAGTTCTGGGGATGTACATGTGTATCTGTTTATGCCGTCAGGGTTTAGGGATAGCTGTGGGGGTAAGTAATGGTTTTCAGGGCTCTTGGTAAATGAATCAATTTTCAACACAGAAAAAAAATCCAGTTAAAACTTAAAAAGACTGATGATTTGCTATCTAGAATTCACACAGATCATTATGAATCCAGCACTTGTGTGCAAAAAGATGACACAGAGAATATGGTACCTAACAGCGATTCTTATTAACCCCGGTGTGCCTCCTCTGTCCAAGGTAATCTTTCAGCTTTTTATCCTCCTCATGAAAAAGGAAAATACAGTTTGTACAAAAAGTACTTAGCTGCTAAAATTACATCTGAAGTTGGGGAAAAAAATCTGCCTTGGCATCTTAATACAAACACAAAATTTTGTACATGTCGAGAAGGAAAAAAAGCTTTTTGCAAATGTGCCAGAGTTTTGGAATGAGTTCTGTAGCAGAATATCCCAGAAGCTTAAGGGGTATCTGCCTCACTCTGGTTTACTTATACAGCTCCAGGTGTGGCACACCTCTGGATACTGACA